TTCGATGCCCACTCCCAGCAGGGACCCAGCCCCTGGCTCCCCCAGGCAATTGCCTTCCTTTCCCCTTTTCATCTCTCTTCCTTCCAGCAGGGACAGTGGGTCATGGAGCTAATTGGCCATGCGATTAACGCCTCTTCCAGGCTGGGGCTCCATGCGTCTTCCTCTGTCCTCTGTTGGTGTTTCCTAACCTGGGCTCTGCTCTATTTCTATGCTCATAGTCTGTAACCATCAGGAACTCCACTTTGGGCAAAATTCCTACACAGGTGTGACAGTGAGGAAAAGCCCGGGCTCAGCCAGGGAAGCCCTTGTCCTTGGGGACGAGTAACCACCTGCTTCCCTGCTGACAGGTGCCTCTGAGCACTTGTGGGCTGATGACACTGACATGAAAACTGCCCTGAAGTCGGGCCACAGACCCGCATGCAGCTCAGGGTAGCAAGTAGCCAGGCAGTGCGGACAACTACAGGGCGCAGGAGCAGCAAAGGCCCTTCTCCAAGGGACTCTGATGCCTTCGGATTCTGTCCCTTCCAAGAGTTACTAGTATAAACCTTTATTTACCGAGGCAGATGACACATTGCATTGGCCGGCACTGACCAGCAGGTCCGGGAAGACTATCAGAGGAAACAGTAGAAAACGGCAGTGCCGTGGTTCAATCACTAACTAAATGAAAAGATACAGTGGAGATCGAGGTCTGAGCCTATCGGGCCTCTATCCAGCCTGACTTCTGTCTGCACCTCCCTTTCAGCTACTGGAGGAATGGCCCCAAGGGAACAGAGGGAACCAGCTCAGGGGACAGTTATAGGGACCGGCAGCCGCTGCGGGAAGGGGCGTGAGTGAGGGAAGGTGCTGCACCGGGCAGGGGCGCCGTCTAGGAGAGGCGGCCCTGGCTGCTCGCCTCTCGTCACCCACATTTTCCTACAAAATAAGAAAAATCATATATACTCACGTCTCCCCCGACTGCTCCATTTCCTTCTAACGTTTGGCCCCACCTTTCCCAGTGTATCAGGCACAGCAATCTTGCTTCGGCTTTGGGCAGAGCTGGGTTCAGGAACCAGGCCGGCCCTTCCCAGCCGTGTGCTGTTAACTAAGGGTCTTATTTTCCCCGAGGTTCAGCTTCCTGCAGTGCCAGGTGAGGACAGCAGCCCTCACTGTGTGGAATTCGAGGTGATGCTGCACAGTACCCCGTATCCTCAAGCACTAGTGGCACTCAGTTGTTGGTGGCCACTAACCTTACTTTCTCTCATCCCGCCGTCTTTCATTCCTTGCTCTAGTGTCCAGTGTGTCCAGTGTGGACACTCTACAGGAATCAGTCAGCCTCCACATGCTCTCAGTAATCTGAGCCCACCATAGCCACAGTTGTAAGAGTTCATAGCTTCTACTGACCCTGGCTACCAGTAGTATCTACCTCCAGTAAGCTATGGGCGTCAGCCTACCCATGTGTTTAATTAACAGCAATATTTATCATTGTCCGTGAGCCCCTCTGCATTTATCAGATTGCTGGGAAATGGCTCTCACTCCCACAGCGCCGGCAGGGTGGTTGGTATAACCTGGTTACATTGTAGAAGTCAACATGGCAAAACCTTAAAAACATGCACACTCTCTGTCCTGGCAACAGCAATCCAAAACATTTATTTAAGGATATAGTCAGGTTTGTTCACAAAAAGCTACGAGTAAATATATTCATGCAGCATTTGTAACATTAAAATAATGGGAATAATCTAAATGTCCAAACTATAGGAGGTTTATTAATTTTGTATGTGCATCATGGCACAGCCATATAGTGAAAGACTCTTGTTAATGACCACTTGGCATAAAGTCACATTTATTGATGTGGAATGGTATTTGTACAGTGTGTGTGTGTGTGGGGGGGGAGAGACAAAGAGGAAGAGAGGGAGGGAGAGAGAGGGAGAAATACAGAGAGTGAAACAATATCACAGGGTCCGCGCTTCGCAGATGAGGGGACGCGTGCTCAGCTCTCCAGGCTGGCAGCCCGGTAAGCAGAGGTGGGTCTCTCCCTTCTCCCCTCGCCCCTGGTCTTCCCGTGGAGAAGTGGCTGCCTTCACAATTAGGAAGATTAGGAAAATGTTCCTGCATGTATGTGCCTGTTAGGAACTGTGTTTGTGTCCCTCCAAAATCCAATCACAGGGTTGAAGCCTTACCCGCGGGTGATGGTCGTAGGAGCTGGGGGTCTTTGGGAGGTGGTGGGGCCCTCATGAGTGGGATTAGTGCAGGTGCTCTCCCCTTCTCTCTGCCACCTGAGGACATGAGTGGGCTGTGTGTGACCTGGAGAGGTCCCTGACAGGAACCCAACCATGCTGGCACCCTGAGCATGGACTTCTCCAGACGAGTGAGGAATGAATTTCAGTTTTTACGAACCAGCCAGGCTGCGGTGTTTAGTTATAGAAGCCCTGACTAGGACAGTGCCCTGGGCACATTACTGTCCCCCTCCCGCATGCCCATGAGGGGGGCACACCTGGGTTGGGGCTTAGGGGCTCTATCTCTGCCCTGGGGGCCTGAGGCTGGGCCACGTCTCTAGGAGGGGCTCTGCCAGCAGCTCCACCCCACCCAGTGCCACAACCACTGCAGGTGGAGGCGAGGGGTCCCCTCAGGCTCCGGTCCACCAGGAGAAAGGGGACACCGTGTGAGCATGCCCATTGCTCCTTCCTCCCCCTGCTCTGACTCAGACCCGGGGGAAGGAGGAGTAGTGGGTGCCCGCAAACCCCAACGTGCGTGCAGTGTGTTACACGGGGCCTCTGTGAACACCCATGCGGTGGAGCATCTGGAAGGACACCCCCAAATGCAACATCCTCTTCTGTGGGGGGTGAAATTATTTTCTCACATGAGTTATGATCATTATAGTTATTCTATTCACACATCTAAAATAGAAATAACGTGCTCCATGAACTTGTTTCCCATCAACGCACAAGTCTGGGACCCTCCCTGCAGGCTGGGAGCCGTGAGTGAAGAAAGAAACGGGGCAGCCGTGTCTGCTGGACTCCCCCGTGTGCGCCAGGCCCAGTGCCGAGCACAGGCTAGGCTTCGTTCAGTCTTCTGTGAGCCTCCATGGCTCAGGATTCTCATGTAAATGTTTGGTGGGGAAATTGGGGAAGATGGGTAACTTGTGGAACTTAATGTCACATGACTAGTAAGAGGCAGGGAGAGTCAAGGCCTCGTTCTCACTGTGGCGGCTCCCAAACCCATGGCCCTCCCCCTCGAATATCCTTATAACATCAAAGGCAGTAACGTTAGAAAAATAAAGCACGTGGAGCCCTGGCTGCTGTGGGTGGTGGTTAGAGTCGGCCTGTGCGCCACAGGGCGCAGGTTTGATCCATGGTCAAGTGTACACGCCGGGCGGGGCGTGTGGGAGGCAACCAGTCCACGGGCCCTCTCACGCCTATGCCTCTCTCTCCCCCTCTTTCTCTCTTTCCCTCCCTCCCTGTCTCCCTTCCACTCTCTGAAAAGCAATGGGAAAAAAAATTGTCAGGTGAGTATTAACGAAAACATTAAAAATTAAAAAAAATAAAACATGTGCAATGGCAGTGTGTAGCCAAACTGACTTCACAGGGCGCAGATGCCGAGGGAAACCCCGTCGTCACAATGCGCACGCTCACACCTTCCCTAAATCCCACCAGACCCAATCCCGAGAACACTAGCAACAACACAGCATAAAGAGGGGAGCTTGCTTTCGAGACCCAGGCATTTTGCAAATAGTGCCGAGAGTGTCATGAAGGCTTAACAGCCAGAAGAGGGAGAAACGGAAACAAACAGAAGCATTGAATCTCTCCGGGGAGCACCTCTGAGGGCCCCCAAGGCCTGCCTCAGAGCCACGGCCGGCACAGTAACTAATTTTCACAATGGTGATACTGAGTCATCAAGAAAAGGTTACATTTTATATTCAGAATTATCTGTTTAAGAAGGCAAGGAAGCGTGTAATCTATTTGAGAAAGATTTTCATTTCAAATAGTTAGAAATTCTTTCAAAAGAGTTTTGCCGCTTAAAGGAATAAGTGACAATTATCTGGAAAATTCACTTATGCGGAACGAGGTCTCCCTAAAGATTCTAGGTCTGGGAAGCTGTGGGCTATATGATGAGGCGTCTGCGCCTTCTCCTCTTTGCATTTCATTGTCTGGTTCCCTCAGGCCGCGCACCGCTCCTAACTTCCAAGCACTGGACTGTAAGTTACGTGATGCTGAGATCCTGATCTTTCCTGGACACCCCACATCCCTGCGGTGGGCAGCCTTTTCCCCGCATGAAACAAACGATGAACTGATATTTACAAAAAATGACTGATTCCCAGGGCATGCATAACTGGCGACCAAGCCCACCTGACATTTTACAAAATCCCTGAGTGGTTTTTAAGCAGTCCTAGAAGGTTTCTGTTTGTTTGGTTTGGTTTTTTGTTCTTACAAATATGTTAATAATTAAATCAACACTTTACTCTAAAAAAATAACCACAGGAAAAGACTTAAAAATAAGGTTACCCTAAGAGTTTCCATGGAGGCCTCCAGGTTTCCGGTAACTAGTGCTGTAAGCACATGAGCGGCCCCTGTCACCCTGCTGGCCTCACGGCTCCCCGTGTCCTCTGCCCCACACGGAACTCATCACGCTCTGCGAATGCGCAGAAATCCTGTCGCTTCCTCACATGCTATTCCAGCCGCCAGAAAGCTCCCACCTCCGCCTGTTTTGTGCCTAGTCCAAGTGTGTCTTCAAATGCCATTGCTCTCAAGGCACGTCCCATCGCCACACCTGCTGCAGGGTGGCCGTTATCATAATCCCCTTTGAAGACAAGGAGAAGCCCTAGAGGCCACGGGACTGCCTCCTGGCCCACCCTGGGCATTGGATCGGCACCTGCCCCTTCCCAGCCCTCCCCCAGCAGCCTGCCCCCCACCGCTCAGGGCAGCACAGTAACCGCAGCCCCCTGCGGGCAAACACCATCGCCTTGGTTTAAGGAGCCCTGCGGTCACCCCGCGGGCCAGGCAGGGTGGCAGGGCCGCGAGCCTCACCTGGCGTGTTGAGCAGGCGCGACCGCCGGCAGTAGTAGGCCACCTCCTGCTCGCAGTGCTCCGAGCTGTCGATCACGGCCTCCAGCTGCTCCAGGCTGCCCCCGTAGGCCAGGGCCATGGAGTAGGGCTGCTGGGGGCTGGCGCCCTGCACGTGGGTCAGCTCTGTGTTGTTGTGCTGCACAGATGTCCAGATCTTGTCCTCTGCCCAGAAACACAACCCGAGGAGGAAGGGTTAGAAGAGAGTTCAAAAGAGGGTCACACTGAAAAAACGAAAAAACAGAGGCTCTTGCAAGCAGCATGATGGGAGCCTCGCCTTGCAGCCATGACGCACCACCTGGGCGCTCTACTCGCACCAGCGATCTGACCAGAGGATTTTTGCTCCTCACAGAGCTCCACTCGGGGAGAGAATGGAGGTTAGCAATCTTGGGAGCTAAAGATTTGGAGCCCTTACTCCACAGGCTGTGTGCTAAGCATTTAATGCCCATTATCTCATTAAAATCCACACTATTAAAATCAGAAGGGAGCCAATCCGCCACGCCAGGAGTGAGGGAACGCAGGTGAGGAGACAGGCAGCTCACACTGGGTCACGCAGTTAATAAGTGACTGAGCAAGAACGGAGCCCTCAGTCTTCCAAAGTCCTCCTTCACCTACCCACACACCCTCCTTCACCCGAGAAACACCAGCGCCCATGATTATCCCAGAAAACCACAAGGTCCAGGAGAAAATGAGAGCTGCACAGGAGTCTCTGGAAAATGCACCCAGTTAACAAGAACGGAATCGGGCAATCCATACCGACCTCCAAGGCATCTCATTGCTGTTCTCATATTCCACCTCCATGCCACCCCTGTCTGCCAAAGGCACTTGGGGGGCTTACAGGAAAGAGCACGCGGAGACGAAGGCCTGAAGTCAGGGAGGGAGAACAGGCTTGCCTAGGACGGGCAAGGCTGGAGGCGAGGAGGGCGGGGGGATTCAAAGTTTAGAAACTGAGAGCCCTACATGCGAAACCCCTTTCTGCTAAAAACAGACTTGGACAAGTCACCTCAGATTCGGGGGCTCAGTTTTATCATCAGTAAGAAAATAAAAATGAAAGGACAGCAAAACAGCTACACTGTGGCGGGTCTGTTACGATGGAAAAGCAGCCAAAAACCTAAGCCACCATCTGGGAGGCATCCGACGTTCTGTAACGATAACTTAGGCTGAGCCATTTGCTGCCGTTGGCACAGAATTTAATCCTGAACATGCTTACAGATGACGCAAAGGGGGAAACAAGACGTCTTGACAAGCTGCTGTCACCTGAGCATCTTTACCACATAAGAGCATCACCCCTCTTTTAGGTTCTTGGGGCTGAAAGGGGACTCGGCATAGACACCATGCGGCTCCCTCTGCCCTCTCCTCAGTCTAACAGGTGAGAAGACCAAGGTCAAGAAGTGAAGAAACAGCCCAAGGCATGTCAGACAAGAACAGGAGCGTGGCACCGGACGTAGCCCCTACTGACTGGAACCGCTGAGAAGAGGACCGAGGCTTGGATAAGCGACGTTATTGCCTTCCCTGCAGGTCAGCCAGTAGAAGCAGGAAAGAGAAAAAGTGCTTGGTTTCAGGGGCCTCTACCATATCAGCCAACTCTAAAAGGACACATCCTTCTGGGCTTTTTTTTTTTAAAATATATATATATATATATCTTTATTGATTTCAGAGAGAGGAAAGGAGAGGGGGAGGCAGATAGAAACATCAGTGATGAGAGAGTCACTGATCGAGCCCAAGCCCGCTACCCGGGCATGTGCCCTGACTGGGAATCGAACCCCGATTGCCTGGATCCCAGGTCGATGCTCAACCGCTGAGCCGCGCCCGGCTGGGCCTTGTGTGCTTTTAATTAAGCGGCGGAAGCATCCCGATGCGTCCTGAGGATGTTCCTAAAGCCAGCCCACTAACAGCCCCCGTCCCCCGTGTGCACCTGAGGTGGGATTGCCCTTTCTACAAAGTCTAAAAACCAGATCAGCACGACGGGTACTGGATTTCGAAAGTAAAAACAGGACACGATTCATATTGGTAAAAATGATAATGTTACACAATTAACACAAAAAACTTCAAAACTGCTGGTGCCGCTATAGACAAGTGCTGACAAACTAACTAAAGAAAGGCAATCGCTCAATAAGGCCGCGATGCCGACGGACAAGCGAGGGCGGACAGCTTGAGACGCCCGCGGCGCTCCGAGGCAGAGAAGGACGCCCCAGCCTAGGAGAAGCACCGCGCCCCCCTCTTACCAGGACGCCTGACAGCCCGCCCACGAAGCGGCCGTGGTAGACGCCCACATGTCTGTAACTGGCGTCTGTGTCTACGCGGGTACACAGATGCAGGTGTGTAGATATACGAACCCTCGGAGAGAGAAGTGAATGTGTCCCCAATCCCACTGTGCCCATCTGTCCGATTTCAAAAGTGACCCACACAGTGTCATCACATCACGGGAATTTGGATTTCCCTCCCAGTGAACAAAGGTTTCCTATCTGTATAGTCATGTGCCTACCTGCTCACACATTCATCAATTTAGTCATTGACTCGGTGCCAAGATCAAATTCTGTCTTCGACAAGGTGAAAAGAAAACTGTGCGAGCCGGTCGACCTTTCATCTTAAAGCCATCGCGTTGCCAACCCTGCCTCTGGGCCCTGAGGGAAACTGAACTTTTAATAATCACCTGTTGGCACTTACTGATAAATGCCGTGTACAGAAGATACAAAGGGATGCTAAGAGCTCCAAAGCGCTCCCCACAGTTCACTCAGCCCTCACGAGCCCTCCCTGCGAACGCAGCATGAGTGACGGGGGAGAGCTGATTACTCGAAACCTCGGTCTCTGTTGGGTTTCCTCTCAATGATACTTCTGTCCTCTGATTATTTTTCTCCTGGGAGGCGGCAGAGTAAAGACTGAAAGCAAGGGGGTAAATGGGATTACCCTCCGCCCAGCTTCATTGGCAGCAGTGCCCATTAGCCCTGACCCTGGCTCGGTAGTGAAGGCCAGCGGTCCACGCCCCTCAGGGTGGTCGCCAAGGGCTGAGGCTCCCGCCGCCTGCCCCAGGTGGCACTGTGGTTGCACCAGGGCAGGTCCATATGAAGTCAGCTCTGAAGGATTTTCAAACAACTAGGATTTGCCCCGAACAGTTCGCTAAGTAGATGCAGGCGATGCACTCGTGACCCCTCACATGCTTGTACTAAAACATGGCCCCTGGAGCTAAATATTCAAGACGGCTATTTAGTGGGTTGGTGGAGATTAGTGTGTGCAGCCAGCTCTGGAGTCGGATCTGGACTGGCTGCCAGCTTGGTGCTTGCTGGCTAAGCAACCTTGGTCAAATGGTCTCATTCTAAAGTTCAGTTCCTCATTGGTAAAACGTGAAAAGCAGCAATGGTGCCATCCACGCAGGTGGTGGTGAAGATTAAGTGAGGGGATTTATTTGAGAAGGTCCATTATTAACAAAATTACTAAGCCTTCCACAGAAATAGGTGTTGCCCATTGTATATAAAGTCATCAGGACCTCGCTGGTGTCAGATGCTGCTATTATTAACAACAGTGCCCAGGGGAAGAAGCTGCCAGCGGCCTCAGGCAGTCCTCATAAGAGCTTGTAGGTTCTTTCCTGAGCATAAAGTAAAAGGCACCTTAAGGGGAGATAAGACAAACTCAGCCCAGCCTTTTCTCCCCAAATCCACCAAAATCCATGAGGAAAAAACGCAGAACAGTAATTGCTTTCTTTTTGAAGTTTTGTGAACTTGGATTCCCACACAAGAAAACCACAGAGGTTGCCCTATAGCTCAAGAAGGTCCCGTTTCACGCAGGGAATGAGAGAGAATCATCTAAATGCTAAGACTGGAAAAGCATCATTAAGTCGTCCAACTCCAGCACCGGCCCCCACTGCCTGCCTCCAGCGCCAGGCGCCCGCCGCAAGGCCCATGCCCTGCCCCTGGGGAAGCGAGCAGGCTGCAGGGTGTCTTGAGACAGCCTGGGCCAGGACAAGCCCATTCAGTCGGACCCTGTGCTGGAGGCTTTGGGCAAGTTACGTAACCACCGCTGAAGTTCCCTCATTGGAAAGCAGGGATTTTAATACCATTTTTATGATGATAGTACTATAATGACTTACATGGTAATTATGTATTTTACATGGACACACAGTAAGTTGCCCAGCATGCAAAATAATTTACACATTCGAATTTTTTTTCTAACATTAGAATGAGGACCTCAGCTCCACTCCTTAGAGAGCCGGGGCGGGGATCTCATCCGGCAAGTGGGCTTAAAAGGCAGGATGGAGCGCCGTCCCCTGTACTGGGGCTGCTGCCCTAGGTGATAAATTATTACCATGCTGTTCAATTATCTTTTCACTCTGAAATTGCCTCGTGTCTCTCTATATTTATTTGTGTCCCGTACATTTCCTGAAATTTATCAGCAGAGTATGTTGTTTAATTTTCATGAACCAGAAACCTGCAAAAAGCACTGATGCTGCCTTTTGTTCTCATTTATTCCCCAGTGTTCATTCTGCTCAAGCCCACGGTGAGGACAGCCCCCGCTCCCCGCCTGCCCGGGGAACACAGGCGCCGAGGGAGCCAGGACACATTTTCTGCTCAGGTGAACACATTTGGAAACTTTGAACTGGCAGGAATCTGTTCAATTCAGCAAGCACCTCAGTTAGTTGAAAGTAATAGTTATTATATTTTTAAAATATTTGCTTTTTTCTCCAATATGTGGTTTGCAAGTATTTTCTCCCATTTCATAGGGTCTCTTTTAATTATGTTGTTTCTTTGCTGTGCAGAAGCATTTTTGTTTGATGTGTCCCCGCTTGTTGACTTGCTTTGGTTGCTTGTGTTTTCGATGTCATATCCAGAAAGTCTTCAGGAACACTGATGGCAAGGGGCTTCTCCCAATGTTTTTTCTTGGGAGTTTCCTGGCAGTTGGTCTCATTTTTAAGTCTCTACTTCATTTTGGATTACTTTTTGTTAGTGATGCTGACAGGGCTCTAATTTCATTCTTCTGCGTGTGGCACCCACTCTTCCGATCACCATTTATTGAAGAAACAATCTTTTCTCCGTTGGGGTCCTTCACATCCTGTTAAATAGGAGTGACTGAAATACAAGGGCTTATTTCTGGGCTCTCTATTCTGTCCCATGGTCTCTGAGTCTATTTTATGCCAGGGCCATGCTGTTTTAATAACTATAGTTTTGGGGAAA